GCCTCACACTGAGGACCTATCCACGTCATCATTTACCCAGAATGCTTTGTGTGTAAATAAAATGGCTCCGTCGGTGTTTAAATATATTTAAAAAAATTTACAAAACTAAACAGCCTACAGTATTTTCAGTCTTTATTTTACAGTTAAAATAAATGTTTATCAAACAAAGTTTAATGTTACAACAAATTGTGGATCCCTTTAAGAGTTTAGTTACTCCTGCTCATAAATGATCGTGTGTTACTGTTACTATATTTTGATTTTTGTGTCTTCCATACAAAGAACACACACACACACACACACACACACACACACACACACACACACACACACACACACACACACACACACACACACACACACACACGTTCTCATGAGAAATACAGCACCAGCAGACATAATAAACACAACTCATTCTCGTGTCATGTTTTTATCTTTCCTGCCCTGAGAACACACTGCTCACTGTGTCTCTTTCTAAGTACCGGTAGCTTTAAGTTCGGGTTCTCTGCTCCCTTTGTTCAGTCATTCAGTTGTTTTGCTTTGCTGGGATCAAGAGTGAGGGTCTCTCCAGCTTCTTTTTTTTTTTTTTTTTCCGTGCTGGAAAAACAGCCAGTTTCCAGCTTCTTTCTTTTTGTTGCAGCAATTTTTCCTTCTCGAAACTTATAAGAAAGACCTCATCTAAATGGAGTCATAACTTCCATTTTGGGCTGCTCCGAACTACCAGAGTTGCCCTGAGCGCGAGCCAATTACCCTGCTGTGAGTTTTTTCAAAGCTGCTGCCCTGACGAGCCTCTGTCCTGAAGAGAGCTACCCCTCGCTTGTCACGCTGCTGACTGCACCGAGTCCACAAGGGCCTGCATCCATTCGACCGACAAAGAAGGCCCCGGTGTCTGCTGGCCCATCCAGGCTGACACCCCTGAGCTGGCGTCTTGTCGACTTCCCCGTCTGATTGGCCCTGACACGGTAAAACTGGGTTTACCTCTTCTATGGTGGCAAATGCCTGCCAGAACTCAAACTTGGCTGCGCAAGTTCTCGTTTTCTCTTGCGATCGTATTATCATGGATCCAACGTCATACTCTTCAACCTCAGCTGACGTGCTCGCCTTAGCTACAGGCTCACAAAATACACTATTTAAAGATCATAACCTCAGCTATGATCTGTTTGTCTGTCATTGTTACGTGTCTGGCAGATAGTTTTCTTCCTCCTCTTTCTCTTTTCAGGTTCAGTTTGCAGGCTGGAGCCAATTTGGGTCTTTAAAAGCTGATTGGATGGAAGAGTTTTGAACAGACCAACCAGGACTCCACCACAAGCTCACCTCGAGTACTGTGCTGGCTAACAGGAAGATGGTTTTATAAAGGAAAAAAAAATTGTATAGGTCCTCTGGACGGGTTCTTCTTTAATGAAACGTTTCGTCTCTCTTCCAAGAGACTTCTTCAATCTGAGAGTCTCTTGGAAGAGAGACGAAACGTTTCATTAAARAAGAACCCGTCCAGAGGACCTATACAAATTTTTTTTCCTTTGATTTTTTACCTGGATTACTGAGATGCATCAGGACATGGTTTTATAAAATTCAGAAGAAGGTAGGAGAAAGAAGAAATGGAAGAAGAAATAGAAAGGAGGAAAGAGTGATAACAAGRTTAAGATTTGGACATACAGGACTTAATTATACACTTTAACATAAAACTGGCAAATGTGATTATTGTGATAAATATGAAACCATAGAGCATGTTATATTAGAATACCATAAATATGAAATAGAGAGAAGATATATGAAGAGAGAGTTTGAAAGTATTAAGAAGGTTAAATATTTAGATATACTGAGGAAGAATTTAGGGAGTAAACATATGCAAATAATTATTCGATTTATAAAGAAAACTAAATTATTTCATAGAATTTAATTATAGTAAGTGTGTTTTTGAATGAAGACATGATATACAAAGTTGGGCCTAAGTATGTATGTTTTAAGTGTGAATGTATGAGTGTATGTTTAGATAGAATGTATGGTAGAATATATGTATATACAGTATAGATGAGGATAAATATTTAAACCATCACGAACCACACTCCATACCAGTGAGTGGCGGTAATGTGCTGGCTTCTTGCTTGGTGCACCTGTGCTGCTGCTCCATTGTTTAAAGGTTGGATCTGTGTTCGACTACTCCACCTAGGCTGCATGTTTGAGAGCAGATCCACGGAGAAACTTGCCGTTTCAGTAACATTTAATTAAAAAAAAACTGTACTTTTGAGGTTAAACAAATGTTCATAATTAATATAAATAAATTACAAATTAAAAGGGGCATGGAAATTTCTCTTTTTTGCGTCGAAAAAATATAGAACCGTGAGACTAAAGTATCGAACCGAACCGTGAATTTCCTGTATCGTTGCACCCCTACTAGGTATAGCTTATTGCCACCCATGTAATGTTTTGGTGAGACTTTTTTAAAAAAATTTTTTTAGAGAAGTTTATCAGGGTGTTTTTTTCTTTAATTGTTTTCTGTTAAGACCAGATTGCAGACAGGCCCTGTTTTGTTTTGCTTGTTTCTTTTGTTCTGCCCCACACCTAATGGTCCCTTTCTGCCCCACAGTTGTGCAGCCTTTTGGAGCCGAATAACAAAATAAAACTTTTTTTTAACACTTCTCAGCGACTCTTGTCTATTTATTGTGGTTGTCGTGTTGCTGCCTCTTGTTTAAAGGAAGGGGTCGTAACAGTCCTATTCTCCTTTTTCCTTCTTGTCTCTCACTCTCACACACACACACATAAACATGCGCGCGCACACACAGGACCCTGAATGTATATAAAATAACCTGCTTAATTAGTTAGTTCACTTGCTTAGAAAAGTAGAAAATTAACTGTTATAATGAGAGCTCATTTTTTGTTTTGATCATTTATTATTCATTCAATATTATTCTCCTAATAAAAGTCAGTTAGTCTTTAACTGGGAAAAATAAAATCATGACTCATTGTGTGTTTTCTGTGTGTATTTTGATGGCTTAACTATTTTGAATAACTTGGGGTCCAAGAACTCACAGAGTACTCTTAATTACAATCATAGTTGTGATTTTAATGAGGGGTATATCTACAGGAGATGAATGATGAAAATGAAAATCAGAGCCAGCATTCTGACAGAATGAGAGGCATGCCATTGTCAAAAATGATTTATGAGCAATTATCTTTACACTTAATATTAAATTTCCAATTAAAGTTAGAATGTTGTTGGATTTTTTTAGTTTTTTTCTCTGACAACTATTGAGAGGATCATTTTCTTTATGTTTTACAGCAATCTATAATTTCACATTTAATGATTTGAAATCAAGTAAAAAAAAGCAATACATAAATGTAAATCTGCTACATGATTAATTTTGTTTATTTTACATGTTGGAATTTAATAGAAATCCCATTTTGTTCCTAAAATCCTCCCTGAATCCATCAAACGGCTGAGATCAGAACAATCCAGAGTTTTGGATCAAAGTTATCTTAATTCAAGTAAAAAGTTTTGTACTCCAGTTTCATCTCTCCAGATTATTTTAAACAAAGTTTTGAGCAAAGTCATGTTCAAATATCTTAACCCAGGAGCTGAAAATGGACCAGTCTGTCAAACTCCCGGACCATTGTTCCCCCCAGTCCGTCCCTGGATGGGCCACAGCATTGAATGAGTTGTTAGACGGGCTGGAACATTTCAACAGGGGGATTAGATTAGCAGGTGCAGATTAACGTTTCTTCCACTGTGCACATAGCCTACTCACATTATGTTTTAACAGTACAGATTACTCATCACCTCTGTATGACTAACTGTGTTGCAGTAGCGAGGTCAGCTGAGTGTGATGTTTGCAAAGCTAGCGGGCTAACATTAGCATTGATTAGCAACTGATGGTGGGCCTGATGGATAGAGCTTCATCAGAGCTAAACAACAGAAGAAATCTGAAGCTCCTATGTTGAAGAGTTTCTGAGTTATAAGCATTTTTGCATGTCCTGACACCCCCTCTTTGAAAGGAGCCCCCTCCTCAAATATGGGGTCTATCGTAAAACCGTTGGCTGGTGCAGTGTAGGTCAGACTCTTCTACAGTCCTGCCAAATTTCATGTTGATCGGTGCAGCCGTTTTTGTGCTACGGTTGACCAAAAATCACTGAAAAATAAATAAACAAACAAACAAACAGTACGAAAACAATGTGACTCCCGCTTACGCTTCGCATGCGGGGGTCATAATAATCAATGTTCACATTTTTAATAATCCAACTCTAAAGGATAATAAATTTTTTCAGCTTTATTAAAATTATTGAGGGAGCCAGGACAGATTTTTATTTTTAATTTGAGACCTGCAGCAGAACCTGTTCTTTAAGCTGATCTTTGTAAGAAGTTTTTTCATTTGGAAACTGTCTGAACTTTTGCAAAAAGCACAGTTTTCTTCAGGAACAGGCTCAGAGGTTATACCTCCGATGAGCAGCAGAGGGCGCTGCTGCAGCATTTCTGAACCCAGCATGTCAGGCGGTTTTTAAACTAAAGATACATTTAAACGGATCTGAGCGGAAATAATTTCATCTTTTAGCTCAACTGCAAGTGAATTTTTCTGTATGATGTAAAAATACATTTTCTTTTCAGCAACACAGTTTGAGTTTATATCACAGTTAAATAAAGGTCTTTTAAATATTTCACCTGCAAAACACAGTTAAATTAGAGCATCTTGAATGAGTCACATCATATGAAATAATAAAAAAAGAAGTGAATCCAAGTCATTTTATGATCATAACTCAGAAGGTTAGAACATATATGTGATCCATCATATCGAAATGAGGATTAAGTCAAATTTGGTCAAAATGACCAAATTACATTTTCAGATTCTTGGATTTAAAAGCTACATTTTGGTACCTGGATCATTCTGATATCATAATTAAATCCATATGTATGACTTACTTTGTCTTGTTGGTTACAATAATACATAAATATTTGGTCTGAATCCTAATTTTATGTCATTTTGATGAGGAATTTTTGATGTCCTTATAAAGAGGAAACCTCAAATTATATTTGAATATTGAGATTTCCCAGCTGAAAAAAAAAAACTTTAACTCACAGGGAAAATCTCAAAATTTTAAGGCATTTTTCCTCAGTCAGGTTTTTTGTTGCTGCTGCTCAAAAAAGTGCTTCAAATTTTAGTTTTATGATTGTATTTCAGACAGTTCATTCAAATGATACATTATTAAGGCATTTATTCATTATATTTTGACAAAATGCAATTTTTGTTAACATTTTAGTCAAAACACTATATTTGCCTATTTCTCCATACCACATTTGGACTTAATCCTTGTTTCCATGTGGTGGGTCACATACAGGTCCTTCTCAAAAAATTAGCATTTTGTGATAAAGTTCATTATTTTCTGGAATGTACTGATAAACATTAAACTTTTATATATTTTAGATTCATTGCACACCAACTGAAGTAGTTCAAGCCTTTTATTGTTTTAAAATTGATGACTTTGGCAAAAAAAGTAAAGAAAAATCAAAAATCCCTATCTCTAAAAATTAGCATATTTCATCCGACCAATAAAAGAAAAGTGTTTTTAATACAAAAAAAAAAAGTCAGCCTTCAAATAATTATGTTCAGTTCTGCAC